CTGCATAGTATTCCATGGTGTATATGTGCCACATTTTCTTAATCCAGTCTGTCACTGATGGACATTTGGGTTGATTCCAAGTCTTTGCAATTGTGAATAGTGCCGCAATGAACATACGTGTGCATGTGAGCAGACAGATTTTTAAACTTGTCAAAGGACATTGATAAACTTGAATCCATGAAATAATGCAATACATAAAGATAAAATATGCCATAATAGTATAGTGGCTAAGAGCAAAGCATTCTGGAGATCAATTTCTGGGCCTCAGTTTCTCCATCTGTAAATGAAGATAATATTAGTATCAGGCTTAAGACCGTTACTTGAAGCACTAAGAGATCATGTGTATGATCATTAGCACAGCACTGTGTATTTGTTTTCTATTTCTGCATAACAAATTACTGCATACTTTGTGGCTCAAAACAACAACTGCTTATTATCTTACAGTTTCCAGGTAAGGGCATGGCTTAGATGGGCCATCTGCTTAGAGTCTCACAACACTGTAATCAAGGTGACACCTGGGCAGTATTCTCATCTGGAGACTTGACTGAGGAAGAAACCCCTTTTTAAGCTCACTCAGGTTATTGGCAGAATTCATTTCCATGCTGCTCTAAGACCAAGGATCCAGACTTCTTTCTGACTGCTGGCTGGAGTTTGCCCAAGGTTCCTCACCATGAGAGCTTCCTTAACATGACTGCTTACTTCATCAAGCCAAAAAGGAGAGCGTCTAGAGTGAGTCTACTAGCAAGACAGCGTCTTATATTATGTAACATGATCACAGGAAGAACATCCCACCACTTTTGCCATATTCTGTTGGTTAGAAGCAAGTCCCAGGTCCTGCCTACACACAAGAGTGAACACACCAGGAAGCAAGGATCCCTGGTGGCCATCCTAGAGTTTGTGTGCCAAATACAGTAAATGAATGAATAAATGAAAGTGTGAGTGAGTGAATAAGTAAACGAGTAGGTGAATGATTGAAGTTGGGTGTGAATGTTGTAAGCCCCTTGGACAACAGAAGACATGACAAATAGTTGTAAAGACAGGATAAATGGGTAGGTAGTAGACTCTAAGGTGACTGCTCAGTTGAAGTCATAACACAAGCATCTAACCTTTGTGAAAATAATGTGTTGAATAATTATGGGGCCTGGGCTGTAAGGCCTAGAGAATGTCAGAGTAAAATATCAGGGATGGTGGGAAATAGAGACCTAAAAGAATATATAGGGCTTTTAGTCTCAATTTAAAGTGATAATTTTCTTACAGTTGGAGCAAATGGAGAAATTAGAAATGAAATAAAATGGTCAAATATAATTACATAAGTTTTTAACTTCTAAGTAATAGAAATAACTAACAATAAAAACCAAAAAAATCAACATACATGAAAAATAGAATTATCAGCACCAAGTATATGAAAAGTTATTCAAACATACATGTGAACACTAATAATATTCCCAACGGATAAATGGGCAAAGGACATGATTATATGATTCATGCACAGGAAATATGAATAGCAAAATAAATTTGAAAAACAGTTTAAATTTAATATGAATAGGGGAAAAGCCTCACAAACAAAAAAAATTCAAGTACCTATCAATCCATCTTATTTTACCAGCTGATTACTTTAAGATGAGAGAGTAAACAGTAAAGTTAATTGCATTAGTATTGTTAAGCAAAACACCTGGTATAACTTATAACTCACCCTGGGTGGGTGGGTATTCGATAATAATTAGCTGTCAGTAGTCAGTGGTAGGAGAGCTAGTATGGATAACTGCAGTCGCCAAATCATCAAAACACTTATTTGCAGACCATAAGACCACATTAACGTGAGGCAGCTAACATGAGGGGAAAAGCTGTTTAGAATTCTTTCAATTTTACTTATACCACTTTGGTAGCTGGAATACAGTAAAACAGATAGAGATCAGACCCCGGAAGAACAAGGAAACTAGGCAAACAGGCTGGATACTCCACAGGAAGAGTATCTGCCCAAGAACAAGGTCAGCGTTCCTACTTTAACGAACATTCTGATGACAACACCTCGGCCTCGGGTGAACTTCTTTGTGACAGCGTCGTGGGATGCCGCAGGGCTGTATGGACTGTTCCTGGACTTGGCACACAAACGGCAACACAGGTGGGTATCCACTTTTCCCTCTCCCTTGGGCCTGTTCTGGGTAGACAGGGAAAATCAGTTTTGATGCCAGTGATGATATACCCAATATGTTTGTGCACGTGTGTCCTTAGGTCTCTTTAGGAGTAAGTTATGGCACATCTCTCATCATGGCCAGGGATGGAAGGGCCAACAATTAAATGAATAATAGTAAGCACTCACTAAGTATTTGTTGTGGTTATTAATGTTGCTTTTACCTTCAGTGGGAAGGAGGCAAATAAAGATGACTTTGTTCCTGGAATCTAGATGGCTTCTCGTGTGGTGTCAGAGAGGGCGGGCACCCATGGGACCGCTGCAGCAGAGGCGGGAGGAGGAGGCCCACAGGGGAGCCCAGCACCTGAAGATGATGACGGGCAGCAGCAGGTGGTGTCTGGGAGGTCTGACAGCCACAGTCAGGGCCTGTGGTTTTCAAACACAACTCCAGGCTGACTCACTGAGGGAGATCCAGTAAGCTCTTCAAACCAGTGCCACCTACCACCCCCACAGATTAAGGGCAGGATTCGTCAGGGACCTGAGGCAAGGCTAGGGGACAGAAGGTGATATGGCAAAGAGGAATCAAGAGGGAAATGGGGGAGGAGGTTGGAGAGCCAAGAAAGTGGTGGTCACAGTACCTTTCTGAGAGCAGTCATTGGTTATTATGCTCTGGAAGAGACGAGGAAATATGTAACAACAGAGACCTTCGGAGGGAATGAGCAGATCACACATTTGTTCTTTCCATATGTCCAGGTGAAGACTGGATGTCTCAGCTGGTCCCCACTCATCTCCTCCCCTCCTCCATCTATAAAATAAATGTACTTTGGTCCTAATATTTTAAGTGCAATTACCCTAAACTCATTTGGAGGTCCATCCATGGGGTACTTTTAATAGTTCTTGTCTGCATTTGGTGAATCTTCACATCGGTGTATCTTCCTTGGAATGTACATTTTTGGAATGAAGGAATCAAAGCTATGTAGTTCTCTGAACAGTGTATAACACTGTAAACAATTAGATGACTTATATTTTTAAAATGAAGATGATGCTACTTATAAAATGAATAAGATTCGTAAAGCCATTCTTTTTTGCTGTAATATCAATGGGACTTGAAAAGTTAGTAGTCTGCTGGTGAGAAAACAGCAGTACCACTTCTTAATGTGATATCAGTTCTTAATATGAAACTAGCTTTTGTATTCCTCTTAAAATGCTTACCATTGTAATCCCACTTCTAGAAGCCTCAGGTAGGGAAATAATAAACAATGTGAACAAAAATATATGTGTAAACACATGAGCACCTAAATGTTTGATTATAGGAAAATGGCCAGATGAAGCTTGGTATAGCTGGTATATCTAGCAGTTATCAAAATTATAGTTAATAATTTTAACAGGAAAATAGTTATGTTAAAATAGCAAGTGAAAAAAGAACATGCAGTAATTTTTCAATTATATTTTCCAAAGCATAGAAATAATTGGAAAGAAACATATCGAAATGCTAAAAAAAAAAAAAAAAAAAAAAAAAAAAAAACAGAGGGCATGAGGAGGAGGGCCTGTATGGCAGAAAAATGGCTAAGAGGTGAGCAATGAGGAAA